CTCTTTTGATATTACCACATCAAACCTTGATATGAGCCCCCTTTCAATATGTGATCATTGCCACATTCCACATACATGTACCTGTAACTGTGAAATGTCCTTCATATATATTACCTTTGTATTACCAATCATTACATGATACAATCACATATACTTTGATAAACACGATTCATTTGTGTGTTTTATGCAGATGTATAATTTGTGGAAGGTACGAGTTATGGAGACCGACTGCAGCAAAGTATCATGGTGATTTGGCGAATGATGGATCTAAATACGCTCCAAATAAATAATTTTGTTTAATAATGAAAATGATATATGAATAATAATCCCAGAGTTTTCTATATTGTGTAGACTTTATACTGATAAAATGCCAATGAAACAAGACTAATACCAGACCCTGTATATTTCTGAAAATATCACCACTTGGCGGCGCTGTACATGTACATAGAGGGCGCTATTTGCTTCACCATGCACAAACAAATTTTGGCTGACTAAATATGATAAGTGTGATAAATATGTGGATATATTGACCATTATTAACCCATATGCATTTGTATATGTACGTCTTACTGCATCAATAAAATGGCTTAATATTTCCATTATATGGGCAATATCAATACCAGAAAAAATCAACTTTCCCTTTGTCCGATTTTGGTAGACTTTTGATATGTTGTTTATAGATGTATATTGTTGCTACATCTGCAAAGAAACTTTCTGTTGCAATTTTGTATGGGTTGACCTAAAAATCAAAATAGATTGACTGGACTACTAGCTTTTAAAAGACATCAGCTTCACAAGGTCGACAGACTTATGCCGTCAGCAATGACGTCATCATGTATATGACGTCATAATGCATGTTGCAGTGATCTGTTACAGATGCAGATTTATATTTCATTCATTGTTTTTAAAATATGGTTGCTATACAGTAATACATTTCAATGGTAATTAGAGATCATTGCTTTGATTGATCATTGATGATTGGATATCTGCGGTAGGTAAAATCATTGCTAAAAAACAATAAATCTTCAACATGCTCTAAAAAAAATGCCCAACGGTTTAGGTCTTGGGTTTTTTTTTGGTCATTCTCAATGACCTTAGCCAAAGTTTGAAACAAAATTCGCTAATGTACTATTTTATTCCGGGTCAAACCCTAAATCCACTGGACAACCTTTTGCTTTAATTGTTGCAACCAGCAAAATATCAAGAATTTGCAGTGTTTTTAAACTGTAGGTCTTTTCACTGGCTATGTCCATCTTTTGATAGCCTCAGGCTGGCTACAGCCGGGGAGATTTTTCCTGTCTCAAGTGAATTCTAGAAGTATTTACACAAATTACAAATGGGGATTTCATCGATTGTAAAATATATTTATTTGAAAGTTTTTAAATCACATCACTCAAAAATGTTAACAGACTTAATAGAATGTCTTTTTGTGCGGCACAATAATGTAGTATACAATTATTATGTGATCTTTAAATCTATCTTAACAACTAAGTCTACATAGACTTCTAAATCTACCCTAACTACTGAATGTACTACTAACTACTAACTGCTTCTGTTTGTATTGATTTGCATTATTTGTCCTTTTCAATTGCAAATTATATATTAATTCTCCTGCGCATACAGTCTTGTGGAAGTACATCTAATTTGCTTAAAATCCTCTTTCAAAATAAGTGCGCCCTCTGGAACTCATTACATCAACATTGACACATCAATTTGTCACCAGTTTACCAATTTTTGTAACTATCGTCTCTGAATTTAGAATTTATTCCTAGTTATAACATGTATTTGATTTTTATTATTATAAATTTGAAGTTGAGCATTATTAAAATGCTTTTACACCAAAATATAGTGAAATTAATACTTGATTAAAGAAAGCTTAGAAAGAATTGTATTATACTGAAGGCATACTTAAAATTAATTAATTAATAAAAACCATGCAAGTTTTTAATACTCACAAAAAATAAATTTGATTGTACATCCATGGTTTACATTTGATTTATTCCAGAATACCTCCTGCCACCAGTTCAATTTTCATTGAAGTGTGATGATTTGTTTTTGAGATACAATTATTATGTAAATTAGATAACTATAACTATAGGTCATCATTGTTTTAGATAATTTATGTACCAAGATTCATCAAAATAAGATGATTAGTACTTGAGATATCAATGAAAAAGATGAAAACCGACTAAATATTGAACAAATTAAGTCAATAACATGCACAGATTTTAACACTAATACGATCTGTGCAATGTAACATAGCATCTATATACCAAGTTTCATTGAAGTATGATGAGTAGATATCTGTTATTATGCAAATTAGGTAATTAATATAAACAGATTTTAATGAGCGATAGTCTCCGCGACACATATGCGCAAGAAATATGGGTCTCATATAAACACAGAGACGTTACCAAGTTTTAATATTTTACCCCAAACCGATTAGGTCTGTGCATTATGTTAGAGTACCTAGGTACCAAGAGGCATTGAATTGTGATGATTAGTACTTTAGTGGAAAAGGCGAGGAATGATTAAAGTGCAGTGGTCGTCGTGCAGCGTGTGTTCGAATTTCATGTAAACAATGTATTTTAGCCGCATTGTATACGTCGCTATGAGTCCCATATCGAACAAGACGCGGTGCGACGACTGCCTCCCTTTAATATGCAAATCAGGTAAATAATATGTACAGATTTTTACCTCAAACACATTGTCACAGAGCACTTATGTACCAAGTTTCAATGAAGTCTGACCAGTGGTTCTTCATATCTCTGGACCAGACAAATATACATGCATGCATATATTCACATACACACAGACAGGGTAACTGCATTGTGTGATTCACACAGGAATCACAAGCTTTGCTCTCTAATTCAGCAGTTCTTGGTATATCCGATTTACATTCGTCTAATTAACAGGTCAGCATTGTGTTTGCTGATTCCATCCAAGTACATTTGCCATCAACGGACTCAGGACATGTTCACTTTTCTGCTCATTTATTACCTGTGAAAGGAAAAGTTTAAAAAATACAATCAAAGTCACTAATAATCCCAATGCTGGATACTCTGCTGTATCCCTGCATCATAAAATAATTTGATTGGTTGAATTATTTATTAGTTATTAGCTTGTGTATTTGAATGGAACCTCGTCAGAAAAAAAGTTTGCATAAGACTGTAGATAAAGCCCCCCTACATAAACAATGGAAACTGATTTTTATTTCTTGATTTTAACTCTCTGAAAGTCTGTCAATGGCAGGTTGTACATTACAAAGCCCTTTTTAAAGATTACAACCAAATTACCTTACATTACAGTTTCTACCTCACAGTAGAGGATAAATTAACCCATATTCTATGTCCTGTCCACAGCGCCCTTCACCTTTACACTGTATGGACTCAGTTCTTGAGTGCCTCCCATATAAACACCTATGAAAACCAACAAAATACATAA